TTTCTATGTTTGGTTGTTTGGCTCCTCCTCATACTGTTCTACCTATTTTCCTCTTAATTCAATACACATAGTAGTTATTAATATTCCCTCTCATTCAGATTATGGGTACCAACAAGGCTAGGTGGTGAGCGTGTATCATTACAACCAAGGAGGAATGTTTCCCATGGCTGCTTTCATCCAAAGACTGAATGTGGGGCAGGGAAATTAAGGTAAGTGCATTCCTGAAAGGCACAGGGCTCTTCACAGGTGGCTTTGTTGTAAGGATCCAATGGTCTGGACTAACTCTCGAGAACTGCACTCTAATAATGGTGAAGCAATAACATGAAGATTTGCAAGGCTGACCCACATTGTGTTCTGTGTAGTTCAAGTCCTGAACCTGGTGGTTTGAAAACCATGCTGGATGCATGTGTATGCCTACTTCAAACCATGAGAGGAAAAAGGAGTAGAAGGGATTATAATGTGATCATCCTTCTTGGGGTGTGATTTCTCACTTTGCCTCTTTCTATTTTAGTCTCTTGGTCTCTCTCTGGTGAGAACATGCCCCCTATAGCAAAACTGGGAAAACAAAAAAACAAAAACAAAACAAACAAACAAACTAAAAAACTATTCAGACCTAATTTCCTAGAAAATTCCATATAGGCACATAGAGGAAGAAACCCCTAGGCTTGGTTTTAAATGAAACAGTTTAATACATTTGGCTAGCGATAGCATCCTTAGAAATGGTCACACAGGACACAGGTGAGCAGAAACCCTTCTAAAGGGCCAAGTTCAGAGCTGTTCAGTTGAGAAATCTCTTTTTTTTTAATAGAAAAAGTGTCTAAGATAAGATAAATAGAGATTTTGGGGCAAGGGAGAATTATTTTGCAGGCGAGTTAGAGGACTGAAAGAGAATGAGGAAATAGTAGAAGATGACGAAATCTGGAAAAGAAACATGAGGAAACTGGGCCTAAAGTGACTTGATGGTTTCAACTCACATCACTTGCACCGGGGGGCATCTGCACATAGAATGCAGTGGATGATTAGAGGACCAGGAGGGCTCATCCAATGGGATCAGTCAATCTCTGTGTTCACCTCAGTGTTCACACCAGGCATCCATGATCAGATGATCAGAATGACCATAATGATTAATATTATGACACATGAGTCAAATAGCACATATAAAACCTATCTCCTCTCATCAGTGTTAGTGTAGTTACTGCTACTGACAAAGTGAACCTGTTACCAGCAGAGTTCATGTCATGTTCTCCATGTGATGAAATACTTCTATCAGAGAAGCCAGCAAGTTACTGGAAAGCTGACTGCCTAAGACCTCTCCCAACTGGTGAGGCAGCAGTACCTTCTAACCTACATTATACCATATTCTGGCTGTGGGTTTGCATCTGCTGCTCACGGTGCTGCAATAAGCATCCCTATTTGGAGGACACATTTTATGGTGAAGAGAGTATAAAAATGGGCACATGACTATGAAGTCCACTGGTTTTACCAGCAGACTGCTGGACTGAGGGGATACTGTTATGGTCTTCTAACATTTCAACTGAGGTAAAATCATGGAGACGATACTCTGTGCTGGTCTCTGGTTTATCACTATCTACTCAATGAAAAACCATTGTGCAATGCTTTGTCATCATCTGGGAAAATTAACAGGTCAAGAACAAGAAATAGGACTGACTTTTCCCACTATCAGTCCAATGAATTACTTGAGAACTCAGAACTTTCTTTCACTACAAGAAGAAAAATTATTGTGGGATATTTTTAAGGAGGGTATTATAAGACAGATGGAATTTCAAGATGGCCAGGGACAATTGTAGTGACCCTAAAAGAACTGAACAAATAAAAATGAAGAACAGAGGCAGGAGAGAGTTGAATATGACTAAAAAAATAGCACCTCAGAGGCAGGAGAGAGTTAAATATGACTAAAAAAAGCACCTCAGTGTATAAAGAAGCATAGTTAGTCAGTAAAAAAAATGAGGTTTAAAGTGAAAAATAAAGTTAATTAAAGATTTTTGGAAGGTGTTTTTTTGTTTTGTTTTACCAGAAGGATGATATGCTGCTTCAATTTTATATCATATAGTTAGAAGTTTTTATTTTGAAGTGAAGAGAGTGTGTGACAATGAGACATTAAGAATATTAACCTAGGAAACTATGATACATAGTTTATATCTGAAAAATCTGAGAGGTGTGGGAAAAAATAAATTTTGGAACTATTTTAAGGGGTTTTAAAAAGGAGTGGAGATTAGAATTACAAACATGGTAATTGAAAAGGAATGAATGTCATAGATAGATGAGTACATTGTGTGGAAATATGAGCAGGGTGACATCTAACTGCACCCAGGTCTAAAATGACATGGGTTTGTAACTTCAATTTGTAAGACATTTTTTAAAGATTGTGTAAGAATGTTCCGAGAATTATACACATTAAATCAGACTTCTTTTGGAAAATAAGAGTTTCAGCACAGCTTTCTGAATCTGCTTTGTTTTCACACTGTAGATAATGGGGTTCATCACCGGGGGAATGAGCAAGTACAGGTTAGCTATGAGGGTGGGAACGTAGGGAGGAGCATGTTTCCCAAACCTATGAACGAAAGACAGGCTGATCAAAGGGATGTAGAATATGGCCACTGCACAGAGATGGGAGATGCAGGTGCTGAAGGCCTTCTTCCTTTCCTCAGGGGAAGCTATGCTGAGAACTGAGCGAATGATCAGGACATAGGAGAGCAGAATGAAGATGGAGTCAACTCCCATAGTTAAGACGACCACAGTCAGTCCAAGGGCACTATTGATGCTGGTATCTGTGCAGGAGAGCTTCATCACGTCGGGGTGAAAACAGTAGGAGTGGTGGAGCACGTGACTACGGCAGAATGACAGACGCTTAAGAAGCACTACCATAGGAATTAATATTACTGTCCCCCTGGTGATGATTGCTGTACCAATCTGCACTATTTTAAGGTCTGTTAAGATAGTGGCATATCTCAGAGGATTAGAAATGGCCACAAAACGATCAAAGGCCATAGCCAGGAGCACAGAGGACTCCATGACAGTGAAAAGATGATTGAAGAACATCTGTGATAAACAGGCATTGAAGCTGATCTCCCGAGCATTGAGCCAGAATATTCCCAGCACTGTCCCCAGAGTAGAGATGCATAGACCCAAGTCAGTGGTGGACAACATGGAGAGGAAATAGTACATTGGTTCATGGAGGCTTGGCTCAGTGAGGACCACGAACAGGATCAAGGTGTTCCCAGAAAGGGCAGTTATATAGAGGCAGCAGAAGGGGATGGAGATCCAGGCATAAGCCCATTCAAGTCCAGAAAACCCCGTGAGGAGGAAAATGGGAGAAGTAGAATTACGGAAGATTGACATTATTGTTTGTGGGTGCAGAACTCTCTTGTAATACCTTTGTTTCCTGCAATAAATATTTGTTTAATATTAATTTTTAATTTTCATTATGCAGTTTATTTATTTCATTCATGATAGTCTTTGCGTGCACATGCATAAACAGAGTGAAATCAAGAACAGCATCCTCTACATGGTCTCATGACCTCGCCACTCTTTTCATAGCTTTCATGCTCACTGGAATTTTGAGGACAAGCACATGCATCTAGCGTGTTTTAGAGAAACCAGCAGGGATTCAAATTTGTGATGAGGCATGTAGCTTCCTGCACTGCAGTGCACAGTACTACTAAACTGTGCACCAGGCTGGGCCCATTGTTTAGTTTTAATGGAAATATTTTACTATTAATGTTTCTAATTTTACATTTTTAGTTACCTCTTTGAATGTCTATCCAATATCCCAAAGAATAAGTATTTGGATATTTGGATATTTTCAGCATTTTCTCATCTGTAAATCTTTGCTTCCTCAAGTCCCTTGCTCAGTAGATATTTATTGTTTTTTTGTCAATGGTTTATTTTTCATTCACTCTTATTCACTAAGTTTTAAGATTCAGCCCATGAGACTCGTTTTTTAATATAAATTGAGAAATCAATGTTGTGGAGACAATAAATAAAAGTTCAGGTACACTAATTTATTAAGCAAGCTGTGTATCTCTTTCAGAGAAATTATGAAAGTTAGGAAATGCAGGTCATGCTTCCTGGTTATATGTGCTTCTTTGAAGAAAGGTCTCTCTATTCCAGAGATCTGGATAGCAATGCATCTTTATGTATAACCATAAAACTGTTTTTGAATGATGAAATCTACCACTATCATTAAAATCAGGAGAAAAGTAACTGTCCTGTCCATTCTTAAGACTAGTTACTGCCTTCAGACTCTTATAGAAACATTCAAAAAAAATCATGCATGTGACATGAATTGATTGCATAACATATGAGAAGGTTTGTAAATGTTTATCATCACACCAAAATAAAGAGATACTGTTACTGCAGTGGTTCAAACTGAAGGTACCACCAAGTTATAACCTGTTTTTACAAATTTCAATACATGGCTTTTGGTCACAAAGTCAGGAAGTTGTGGAGAATCTGCACTGATATTGCTTCTGAGGTGGTGCTACCAACCTCTATGGCATATACTTTACTTTAAAAGAAAACACATAAAATAAAAACATATGGGATTCAGAGGCTAGTAACATACTTGGAATATTTTTAAGTTATAAACATTATTGATAGGGACAGTGCATTTTGTGTATTTTGGGACAATGTATTTAGTATATTTTGAGGGTATATTGGTTGGGACATTGTATTTAGTATATTTTGAGGGTAGAATAAAAACATGACAATGGAAAAATGGACACTATTTTGAGAGAAAAAAAATCCTCTCCACTTAACATGTACCAACTGTCCGTACTCTATAGCAGAGACTGAAAGACTGAAGGAAATAAAAGCATTAAATATTGTCATGGACACTAGAGACAAAGTGAAAGGAGAGTGTGGGAAGGGAAGAGCATAGGAAAGGAAATTTGGGGAAAAAATAGAGAGGTAAGATGTTTGTGGGACACAGTATGGTTTAGTATTCGTTGATGAGGATGTGTATAGTATTCTAACTGGGCTTAACTGAGGTGTATATCATGATGAGTAAAATCTCTTCACAATCTAAGTGATGTACAGTGATTGAATATATAAATAATAATCATAATCATAAAGAATAATAAAGAAAACTTTTCCTTTTGGAAAAATCTAACAGTAGCTTCAATTACCACAAGTCAAATATTCACTATTTCTAGTGATAAGAAATTTCTATTTAAAATAACCACTTAACATTGATAAAAATTGTGAGGTATCATTAACTTCCATAAAAATTGGTATTCTCTTAGTGTTGGTGGATATACAAAGAGTTATCATGACATTCAGAAAAATTATTTTCAGTCCTTAAGACTAAATTTCACTTGAATAAGCATGTTCACTTCTCATAAATTTTACTAATAATAACAGCTACCAATAATGAACTTGCAATGTCATGTATGTTATTCATTTATATAGGTTTTTAACAAAAAATTTTTATTTTAAACGTTTATTTAATCCTCAATGTAAACATATTATTATTCCATTGTTGTATATATTTAGGGAAGTGTGGTGTAACATTGACTGAACCAAGACAAATTTATTGCATTAATAATGAGAGCTTAGGCAACCAGCAGTTAGCATAATGGCAATGTCGCTGGATTCCCACGTAGTCGACCGTGGTTTGCATCCCGGACCTGGTGGCTTAGCACTCATGTCGGGCGCGTGTGTGTCCGTGCCCAAGATCCCGAGAGGAGAATGGAGGAGAAGGGATTGCAGCGTGATCATCCTCCCTGGGGGGTGATTTCTCGCTTTCTGTCTCTCTGTCTCTCTCTCTGTCTGGCGAGTGCACGTGCCCTATAGGGAAAACCTCTCAAAAAAAAAAAAAATAATGAAAGCTTATTCCTTATATGTACGATAGGAGTCAATATGCAGGTTAATAATACATATGCTGCATAAATAAATCATACATTTTATGCTCAAATTCTTTTGATACACTTTAATATCTTGTACCACTCTCTAATTCTGGAACTCTTAATAATTTCTAAAGTAATAAAAGATTTTTTTGAATGGTCAGAATGACAAGAGAGAGAGTAAAGAGATGAGTAATCAGAATGAAAGAAATTAAAAACAGGCAAGACATTAAAAAGTGGTCATCTTAGGATGTGAAATTTCATCCAGATTTTGAGGAAAATTTGCTACGATTAGGCAGTGATTTAGTCACAGCAAAGTGAACAGAATCTGTGAGAGCCATACTGTGCTGATTCTCTGACTCAAAAAGGCAGAACTAAGCTGCCAACATACTACATGGGATTTAATGTATGTTTCAGGTACACAGATGCATTTACCTTTAGTGTATGTGACAGTGTATGAATTTTAGAAGTAGTGCCTAGAATCATTTACCTTTGGTCTATGTGGCAGTGTATGAATTTTAGAAGTAGTGCCTAGAAAGTGTTAACATTTATTTTCATTGTGATGATATGATCACGGCAGTAGTTAGACAACTAATTTTGAAGGCTGCATGGAAATATGGATGAGGTTAGGGCTATTTCTAGTGTAGACCAGTGCTCCTTTGTGAACTATTTTTTACCAGTGTACCAGGAGAAAAGTACAGGTATTTTGTATAAGAATGTACAAATACTTATAGCCATTTGACCACATCAGGACATCTAAGAATGGAATCAGTGGAACTATCTGGATGAAAAGGTGCTAAATAAGGCTGGAAGCTGCCATTCTTGTGAGGAAGTTACACTTGGGAGAATTATGTGCTAGTGTGCATCTATGATGAAGTGGAAATAAAAACATTGGATGCACATTAGCACATAACGGACAGCTTAAGGATAGTAGAATGAGGTTATAATGGGAATGATAAACAAATCTATCTAGGAAAGAAGGAATGGAAACTAATACTGAGCCAAGGTATCTGCTATATGTCCTCATTATATTAACAATATCTACATTTTTCCAGAGGAGTTCTGATTAAGTTGTTGGTTCAAGTTTACACCCATAGAAATTATTCAGGCAAATTTCATAAACCGAGGTGCGGTTGTTTAAAAATTCTATAATCATTAGTTTGTACCATATGTCTTCTTTGCTGAGAACTAAAAATGATAAAGAAATAGTAATAAATTTAAAAGAAGGGGATAAATCTGGTAGACTAGGAAAATATGATCCACTAAATTATTTTCTTGTTTGAAGAATTATTTTATTTATTTATTTATTTTTAATTTGACCAGGACAGGGAGTGGGGACAGAGAGAGGGAGAAAGTGAGAAAGCAAGCCGCCAGGTCCAGGACTTGAATCCCTGTCTACCATGTGGGAGTCCAGCGCCCTTAACCACCATGCCACCTACTGGCCCTAATCCACTAAATTCTTTTGTATAAACTTTGTAATACAAATTAAATATTAGACAGGATGCATAAAAGGATTCTGTGTTTTGGAATTTGAGTATTGTGTTTCAGCGAAATTGAAAAAATAAGGAGAAATTTGCACTGTGATGTTTATGTAACAATGTACGTTGTAGCCAAGAATCAATATATGCATCAACCAACAAATGAATGAATAAAGAAAATGTGGTATATATGACTAATGGACATACACTGGGCTTCCAGAGGGAGAAAATCATGTCACTTGTAACAACATGGATAAAACTGAAGAACATAGAGGCCAGCAGGTGGCAAACTGACTAAGGCACTGGACTCCTACCTGGCCGACTACAGTTAGAATTCCAGACCCAGTGCCTTGCTTTCTCACTCTCTCTCTCTTTCTATCTCTGGTGAGTGCATGTGCCTTGTAGAAAATTTAAAAATAATAATGATAAATAGAATTAAATACATAATTCATTAAAAAAATTGCAAAACATGTTAAAGAAATAAACCAGTCATAAAAGAAAAATACCACATAATTTCACTGTCATGTGGAAACTAACAAAGTTGATCTCAGACGCAGAGAATAGAATTGTGGTTACCAATGACTGTAGCAGTTGTGGTTGGGAATGGCTTGGGAGATATTTGAAGGGAAGAAAACTACAGTTACTAGAAATAGTTTCAAGATACCTATTGTCCAGTATGACAACTATAGCTAATGACTATCACATTCTTGAAAAATTCTGAGTATGTATCTTAAGTATTCTTCTTGTAAAAGTGATAATTACGTGATACAGTACGTATGTAAATTAGCTAGCCTTAACATTTGTACAATATGTATATATGTCAAAACATCATGTACATGAGAAATACAGAATTCTGTCAACTTAAATAAGTTAAATGATTCTAATAAGATAGGCAAATAATTTCTTAGCATGTATTGCTGAGAAAAAATAACCAAGCAAAAATATTTTGAAGTAATGAAGATTGGGAATTTGGGTTAAAGAGCAGCATGGTGAATAGAGTAATAATTATAAGTATGAT